AACGTCATTCCGAACGCATTATTAATTTGGTAGAATGTTCATGTTATTGGCTGATTTAAGAGTTTTTTTATGTATTTACAATGGCGAACAAAATGACGACTAATGGTAAGTTCTACACATACTAAGTTATCGCGTGACACCCGTATAAAATAATGAAATGCATAAGCGGCCTATATAAATAAATTATTTCTCAATTTGCATTTTTGCACCTTCCTATTAAAAATGATGTTTTATTACTTACAAGTTCAGTTTAACTACAAAGTGTTTTGTTGCTTTCTTTCTTAAATATGCATATGATACTAACGGCATTTACAGAAATTAACGTTTAATTATTTAATGGTTCCTACAATAACATAAAGATTTTTATCTCATTAATATTATACTTACGTACTTACGGTGTGTCTACTGATTGAACGGGTGTAAGTACATACATCATAAATTTATATATGTTTAATATTTCAGGACAATTTATACAGTGCTAGTACTAGTCGCAAACTTAACAGAACTTATATATAGTACCAAATATCTGATTCAAATATTGAAATGAATACATATCTACCTAATATACCTACCTAAATGGAAAACTTCCTTACCGAATTAGTCTGCTAGTTTTCAAATATGCATTAAAAATAATATTCAGGAATACGAATGCTCATATTATGCGACAACGGAATCTGCAACCATAGGAATGCTAAACAGACCACTGAAGCCGTCAAATCGATCACATACCAAACATATCACGCTACCGCTAGTTAATTAGACACGTAGCACTCGGCCGGGCGTAGTGCTTAGTTCAATGGTAAACGAAAGGGAGAAATGATGTACTTGAACTAAGCGGGGAAGGCGATCGCATCGATACGAGAATTGGGTCATGGCCTCGCTACCATTGCGCGTCACGTGCGCCAGTGTAAAACGGAACAGAGCTGAAATGTCGCTGGATGGTAGTGGAGCGATAACGTCGTCATTCCAGGTTTGTTTTGGTACGGAGGACTTATCAGCAAGTGGGTATGTTTATTTTTAAATAAGTGGTTAGTCGAAGAGTGGAAGATGAAAGTTGTCATGAAATGTGAATTGGGTCACGGCCTCTTTACCAATGCGCGTCACATGATATCACTCGACGTATAATGGGACGTTGATAGGACAGTGTTGGTGAAGGTATGGCCATAATTGGATATATGATTTATTTCGTTTTATTTACACACTAAGTTGTAAAATCTTCATATGAACTATACAGAAAACATAAAAACAATTTTATTTTGTCAATTCGTTTCTGGATGAAAATGGTTCATTTTCGCCAATATAAGTAAGGTAAGACAGAGGTACCTATGGAAATGATTTCATAAATCATATAATCATAAAGTCTATCTTGGTTAGATTCTTGAATACTAGTATATAATCATTCTAAGTAAATATATACATACACAAGGTATATATTTACTTAGAACTATGTATATAAAAATACTAACACATGTACTGTGCGGATTCAAACAGCAAGTATCAGAATTTGAGGCATTGTCCTACACCGCTACACCACAGTTATTAATTAAATGTTGTTTTAATATAGACTATTTTTATTTATGCCTATATCGTTCAAATGAAGTTTAATATTTATGACTTTAATTTTGGGTTGCGGTTGACTATAAGATAAGGAATTACTACATTATCAATTTTAAATATAGAACATTAATTAATTAAAAAAAATGATTCGTGCAGTAATATAGTATATAGTAGTAATATAGTATAAGCGAAGTCGGAGTGAGTTGTATAAACTACAATTGTAGTGAATAATTTAAAAAAATATATTACAGACAATGGTAAACGTACTGTTAATATGTTTGTATAAACTATCAATCGTGCTAACAATTATATGGGAGAAGTGGACAGCTAAGTAAGTGGAAACCGTTGCTTCTGTACATAATCATTTATATCTCTATAATAATCATCAGCATGAAGTCGACGTCGTGACGCCCGTGATGCAGTTTTATTGACTAATAAAGTTTATTATTATTAGTATATATAATACTCCTTTAAGCGTTATAATTCTGGTGGACAAATATGTCACCTCAACACATCTTAGACAGCAGCTTGGTCGTTGTATTCGTTTAGGAGCCCTTCCCTTTTGCAGTCTGTCTCAGTAAAACCTGAGAGTAAAGCTTATTCAATGCAAAAACAAACATCCAAATCCATTTGGGACAAAGGTATATATCGTGAAACTTACAGATATAAAAAAATACCATCATATTGAGAATTTACCTTTTTACCAGTTTTTTTTATCTTTCCAGTTTTGTACTGGATAGATATATCTTGTACAACGATATATTGCTGGAAATACTGTGCGTGTGTTGCAATTAATTATTATTAGACAGTTCGCATTTATAATGGAGGGGAAAGTAGGGGGAGTCTCTTCCACTGAACCATTTGCTCAGATAAACAACCACACCGACATTGACATATGTTTCCTAGTATTTTTTCTTTTTTACACTTTAGAGATGAACTACGGACCTCCCAAAATATATTGTGAGGTTCCTAATAAACCGCAAATGTAAAATTAAATATTTTTCAGTACATATGTTTTATTATGCAATTGTTATTGTATTATTTGAAACTGGCTGACAATCTGGCTTCTTATTGGTGTATTAATGAAGAAAATGAGACTAAAGCGTTCCTTAGTACGACTATGTAATGCTAATAAAAAAACCTTTTTACTTTGTCCTGACTTTATAGTTAAAGTCAACAAAAAATTGGCTAAAAGAGTGTAATTTTCGGTCGGTAATCTTCGGTTTACATTCGGTGATTGATTTTTATTAATTTAATAATAGTTTCTTTTCTAGGTAACTTAAGTACCTACTTTTTTTCTTTATTTAATTGGAAACAAACGTCATTCTAGTTTGTAATTACAATAATGTATGAGACAATATTAAAACTAAGTATAGGATTAATTTAATTTACATATAGTATCATATTGGCTTGCGCAAAAAAACAAGAACTAAAAAACAGTCTGGAAGTTATACGTTTCGTAATAACGTTACTAGTCACTCAAAAAAATGTTTTGTAACTATCAAAGGTAGTAAAATTACACCATCCACCAAAAACCTTTCTGTAATAAGTACATAATATTCGATGAAATTATTTTTATTGGTGTCAAAGGACGATGTTCAGGACAGGGTAAAGTAGTGAAGAAACATAAGGAAAGCTGATCCCTCCACTATGTATATACACTGGGAAGGGAGAGAAAGAGAGATTATTACATTATATACTTTGATACCTATTATATATTTGTTTATGTTACCGACTACATTTACTAATTGACACTCGGCAAATAGCAATCTACTTAATGTATCCAATTTACTCATTGTGCAATAATATTTGTACCGACTGCCAAGGGGAGGTTTTTTAATGTCACATTTTTTTAATTATTCTTCTACCTTCCCCAAATTTGTATGGATTTATATTATTCCTTTTGGAAGTTTAAATGCAGATTTACACCCACTTATCAAAATAATTTTGTAAAAAAGTCTGTAACAATTTTTTAACACGGCATATTTGCATTGAATTGCAATTCATATATGCATAGCCTGTCGCTTAAAACAAAACGATTTATATACGAAATTGTGCAATATCTTTATTTTTACAACAATTAGTGACTGTTGTATTGATACAATCTTTCGTTTCGTTCTCATAAGAATGTTTTCTATTCTATGATGTCTTGATTGTGCTTATCTGGTCTACAATAGACTCGACCACTCTGCGAACAGAAGACGATTTTTATAGTCCTGTTTTTATACACCTATACATATAAATAAAATTTGAGTGTCTGTTTGTAATATTGAAATAACAGTTTTTAATACATGTATATGAATGTAAATACAGAACAAAAAACATTTTTTTAAATTTGTCTGTCTGTTCCGGCTAATCTCTGAAATGGTTGGACCGATTTTGACGGGACTTTTGTGGCCGGTAGCTTATGTAATATAACTTAGCCTAAGTTACTCCTTATTTTAGAAAAAAAAATCACGCGGACGAATTCGCGGGAACGTATAAAATAAAGCGGTTAGTTTAAAATAAATTTGAAATCTTTGTATTAAATTTTATATTCTGTCTCTATAGTCTTTGGTATTTACTTACTTTCTAGCCTGTCCCTTGTAAAGTGATACATTTTTACATCACAATATTTAAAGAACACTTTAGAAGGTAGTTTGTACTTTCGGTTTTCTGAGCCCAAATAATATAAAAATCTTTCAATATTCAGGCCTCTGGTTACCCGTATTCTATAGCCAGAACGTGACGTCTATCAAACTGAAACGAATACCTAAAAAGTAAGCACCTACTTATGGTTGATGGCGCCATGAAGCTTTGTCCAAGTACTTACAAGGAGCATGTGAAAGCGTTATTAGTTTAGGCTCTGACGTCACTCTGAAATAGTCGAATTAATTTGATGGTATTCGGATATATTTCCGACATCGCTGAATATTGTACCATCATATTTTATACTTTATAGGGATATTCTGTGGTTATAGCTCGCATGAGTGTTTACTTCGCGGTTGAGTTATGAGTACCGTGATTAACACAAAATTGTTTAGTGGCAAGATAATTATGTTCTAATTTAAAACTAATATAATACAAATATGTGTTGGTTATTTATACTATCAGAGATGATTTTGTGATCTGTTAATTATTCTATTTGTGATGTCGGTGATGATCCCAGATAGATCACATAAAATTGAGCATGCACATGTGTGACACAAAACTACCTACTTAGCTTGATGTTATAAAAACTATTACATTTATCAAAACTATCTCCTGCACTAAAGTGTCATCTAAAATTCTGTTTTGATGACTTGTTTAGTTGTTTCGACCTCTTAAAATGATATGACATAATCTTTGAAGCGAACTTAGGCTTTATAGCGTTTTACTTAGGGTCAAAATTAATATGCATAATTGATTCAGTTGCGACATCTTAATTTTTGATATTCGTATTTTTGGAGACGGTGGATACTTACCAGTATTCGTCCGGTGGTGGTTTGACCGGAGATAAGTTCGCCGGCCCAATCCTTGGCCTCGGTCATGAAGGTGCCCTCGAACTCCTGTTTGCCCTGCCGCGCCGCCTTCTGCTCTTTCTGCTTGGGGTCGTTGGGAGCAAGCTCCGGCTCCTTGCGGCAGCAGACGAACGCGCACGCGCGCCATACCACCACGACCAGCAGCCCCGCGAGGAAAGTGAAGATCGACGACAGGAGAAAGCACCACCATTTTCGGACACTGAGGCAGTCATCTTCAGGGATCGACGCGGTAGACGTCTCTACCTCAGGCGAATCCATTCCCCGAAGGCGCGAGGCATCCAGTCAGGCGCGCCATGCACGTGCAGAGGTGCGCGCGTTCGCACGCCGTGTTCGCGCGCGACTGAGCTCTGCCGCCCCGCCCCGCGCGGTCGATGCCGCGCGATCGATCCGCGCACGCGCCAAACCGACCGCGACCTTTCTGCACTACCGACACGCTGCGATCATGCTGCTCGTTGCTCTTCTCTTCTTTTCTGTTCTGAGCTAAAACGCCCTCGTCGTCCGCTCCAATTGTCTTTCACGATACCCAGATACTATGATGTTTTTAGCCATAACAGTGGCACAAATTTCAACTATTAAAGTTCAAAGTTCGGGTTGTCAAGTAGGCGGTATCATGCCGAGATGTCGAATGGAATGTTATTGATAGATTTTATGGTATGCGGAGATTGTATTAGGGATGAATGCGCCTGGGACGCCGTCACCGTAGCGCTACGCCGGACGACTGCGTCACGGCGCCGCGCCGCGCTCGTAGACGTCTACGGGCTGCTACGATTGGTTCGTGATGTGAGCGAAGTTAGAACGGTTTCCTTCCCAAGTGACGATTTCCCTTCCCTTTGTGCTTTAAATATTTTCACTATTCAGCATCACGTCAATATGTAGGGTAAGTATATTATGAAATATGTATACCGGGTGTCCTGTAAATATCGTAGTACGACTAAGGAGGTAGCTGAGATGTATTGGATATAAATTAAATTGTATTTATACTATTTTGAGAATCTTTGCATGTATTTTACGTGATTTATTGCAAATAAAAAGGAATTTGTATTAGATATTTCTTCTATTAGGTACATCACCCCGTACTTTTCTTTAATTTTATAGAACTAGCATCCAAATGGAGATGGTTGGTGGTTAATCTACTGTATTTTATGTGTAAACAAAGATATTACATATTCCTCGTTTTGGAACCGCTTATGACGATTATTTTTTTAGTATAAGTTCATTTCATGTTGGTCTTCATGGTAGCTGATCTTTAAGTTATTAGTCAAATACAATTATTATGTATATGAATTTCTATGTTCATTCGACATGCCCCCTTAATTTTAACATATTTAAGAACACACTAAACATTTTATGAAAATTACTTTTAAAAAAATATTAATACCACTTACTGAACTATAATTATTACAACAAACAAATAATACGGCTTCTTTCTTAAAATAAAATAAAATAACTTCTATAGTTGTCCCCTTAATTTTGTTTTATAAACTAAGAATATAATAATGTAGGACTATAAATAAGAAAATTTTACATTTCCCAGGGGCTTCGTGAGAATATAATTTCATGCTCAGAGGGGCAATATTTTATTTTTAAGTCCTTCACTGACTTTTTCGTGTATATAATGATATCTGACATCGATATGCTTTGATCTTCTGTTCATAATAACATTGTTAATTAAATGAATAGTACTTTGATTATCTATAAAAGCGTTGCAGTAACTTCTTCGTTTTCTCATTCTCACAAATTAAGTTTTTTAGGTACATGAACTCACGACAACAATCTGCAGCGGCTATATATTCGGATTCCGATGATGACATGGCAACTATGGGCTGTTGTCTTGAAGACTATGTAATAGGACCTCCACATAGAAAGATTGTGTAGCCTGTTGTGCTCTTTCTTGCATGTGGATCATTAGCATAATCGGCATCACAATAAGCTTCCAAATGTAGATGTACTGTTATAAAATGTAATACCTGAATTCGATGTGCCTAGCAGGTACCTTAATATTCGTTTTCTATTAGTGACATTTTTATTCAACAGGTTGTTAATAATGAATGCATGCATGCATTGAGGGCATGGCCACAAATATGATAATATCAGATATTACATACCGTTGCTAACAATCTTCCCTATCAGCACGATTTCCCCATGGTCTCTATGAAAGCCATTATGGTTAATCATAATTTATTTATATCGACAACATTATCAATTTGTGTTAGTAACAGAATAACTTAAAAACTATGTTATATATCATCGTACCATACCATACCATTTTGTCTATCATGGCTCTGATAACGCCACAAATAAAATTGTTACAATTATCTTCATGATGCACTAGCCCCTCACTCTGTTTAACAGATATGCAGTTTTTTTCGCATGAGTGCAGGGAAACCATCAGTTAAATTTCGATCCAAGCAGAAGAGGAAACGCCAATATACATCATATGAGGTTATAGCCCACTCATAGATAAACGAAATATCTCCTTTGGAAAGTATACACCATATCTTGAGGATATAAAAACCATCGCTCCAAAGAATATCCTTCAATTCATGGCCCTGACGGGTGTAGGTTGCGAACTATAAAAAAGGGCGAGCACAATAGATCTATGTGGGTCGCAGTGCTACAAACTATAGCCAAAAATCCTCAATAAAAAAATAAAGTTCGAGCTGTCGCAAATATTTTAGAGCTTGATCCTTCTTTCAAGTCCCTTGATGTTACGGGTGCTCATGGGCGGCGGTAATCACTTACCATCAGGTGAGTCGCAAGCTCGTTTGTTCCCTATGCTATAAAAAAATATGACGGAAGCGCTGCAGTAACGGTGCAGTTCCAATAGCATCCTGAAGATATTGTTGTACTATACACGCAGAGCATTAGGCGTCCGCCGAGTGTAGTTGTTCCATAAGTTGGTCGGGTAGAATGATTGCCAGTAAGCCTCTAACAAAGTTATTTTTACATCCTTACTACAAATCAAACCTACGTAATTATTCTTTATTCCTGGTTAATTCACTGCTATAGGCCAACATAGGTTCATCTTTTTTCAATCAACACTGACACAAAAACACTGGCGCCTGAATATACTATTCCATATTCAAACATTAAACAAAAATATTAGAAAACTAAAATAAAAGATTAGTTAGATTTCAAATTTCACAGGTCCCTGTACCAATTCTAGCGCGACACCGGCGAGACATATCTATTTCAACCACCTAGCTAACTTTTGTAAGAAGCATTTCGATTGAAGAGCGAGATAAAGCAGTGGAATTACAGAATAAGATGCATGACATCTTGGTTCTTCGGTAATCCAACGCATAAGTTGTATTATATGCTGTATTACGCCCAAGAGGTCGAGCGTTTAAATCTAGCCAACACCAAAAAACGACTTCTTGTGTCAATTAATCTTGAAAAACTGTGGGAAACTCACACCTGTCATATTGGATTCAAATATACTGAGTGAATGCCGAATGTCGAAATGCCGCCATGTCAAGTATTACGTTCACCCGATAGTTGACAACGTCTCTGACTATCACATTTGGTAAAACAGTCGTGACAATATGTTTCCTTTATATGTCTGCGTTCATAATAATAGTTGAAAATGCTTGTAAATATAAAAAGGACCCTTATATATCTGGATTTAGCCTCTCTTTTTTGCTATTGTTGGTGTACAGGCAAGTCTACTAACGTACGGCTATTGGTGTATAGCAAAGTTTACTTATGTAGTCAGCCAAATTTCAGCCAGAAGCGCAGGAGTTTTCTGGTATCTTGGCAGGCTTCTAAGCCGACATCACATCTCTTGACTAGAATTACCTCATTTGGGGTTAGTCTTTTTTTATAATTAATGAGTTTTGCGCTTGGTCTTGTTCTTGGCCTTTAATGTAATTTATAATGAGCATATTTATGTATAGTATTTCTATCTCAGTGCTTCGTTCATCTATAGTCGACTTATGATAACCTGTCATAAAAATGAGAGGGGAGTGGAGATTGTTACGAACAAGTGGCCAATCACTGACTTGGGACTAAGAATCATTTTTGTCTAACAATCCCCACCACTAACAATATACATATCAAGGTAGACCTGTAACGCCATGAACTACCTGTCATACGTAGTTCAGCCGCCAAGAAACTGATGCCAAACCGCAAGCTCTGTTTTGAACGTGTTTGTCTGTGATTGAACGTGAGATAACTACAGTGTTATATATGACATCTTTTTTATGGCATAGCGGACAAACGAGCGTGCGGCTCTTAATCTATTTCTCCGGAATATCAACGTATGAGTGTTACCACGGATGGCATGTGATGATGTGATGACCACGGTGCTGTTCGTATATATAAGCGACGATTACTATCAGATGATAAACTAAATATAGTTAAAAAAAATTTTTTTTCATTCTTAGTCTCGTCCTACAATGGAGCCTCGACAGTGCATATTGTTTGTTAGTAGAGTAGATAGCGGATGCACCATGTCATTATCATCCATTAAAAAGACATAAGTGGTGACTTACTTGTTTAATCGCTAAACAAACAAACATGCAAGTATTCAGAATTATTAATAATATCTCAGGATAACTTACACAGCGCCATCTAGTCCCAAACTAAGCAACGCTTGTGTTATGTGTACTAGATATTATATGAATACATATGTAATGTATATAGAAAATACCCAGACCAATAAGAACAAGCATACTTACTCATGAATACAAATTTACAACATATACAATATACTCACGGTACAACCGTGCGAGTAATTCGAATCCACGATCGTTGGTTGTATGGTGGTGTGTTATACCGTTAGACCACCTAGGCCGCAATAATACAATAGTTCACATAAATATTAAAATTTATTCATCTACTTAAAATAAATCTGGACTTAACTGAACAAATGTACTTCATTTTTTTATTTTAGAGTTTATCTTAAGTTTCTGGTACCGTTTCACCGATCCATTTCAAATATGGAGGGTTCCCATTCTTGATTGGTAGAGATATGACTTCGCAAACTTCGTATGGGTGGTTGGAGCGTACATACTCAGTGAGCTTGTCAACTACTGATGTGCGAGTTTTAATCATCAACAGTAACTGAAATAACAAATAATTATTATAATTATCTTAATACATGAAATAATAATACGTGAAGTTAAAACTTTGTAACCTTTTTTACGAAAATTGCGCGGATGGAGTGTGAAATTTCACACACTTATAATTTATATAGAATGCTAATATATTTTTTAATTATGTTCAAAACATATGTTAAATCAATAAAAAAAAGCAATACACACACCATATTTTATTTGACACATACAGACATATATACTCTTTTGTAGATTGCCTGTTTAACTGCATTGCCTGTGGTTATAGGAATATAATCTTTGATAATAACCTTAATTATGTTCAAATTTATAATTTAATTATGGTTGAAATTCGACCATGAGGTGACCATTAGTTTATTTAAATTTGTGTAGTAAAATTTGATTTCATTGTATTTATTTTTGAAAAATAAATACTAATTCTGAAAAGATCATTCTGTATGTTTTTTGTGACTAGAATAGCATGCAAGCTGTATTCCATCTGATGATAGCTACATCAACATACAGCTGATCATCCGCTACATCATCTGAGCAAAATGAGTATGTATTCATTATTTCTTACCAAAAGTATAATTATGATGAATTTTACAATTGAAGGGAATTAAATATTTATCCAAATTTTATGTTCTTTGACATGTATGGAATAAATTAAAAGTACCTCACTATCTTCATTGATTTCATTTTTCCATTCATATATAGAAGTGACTTGTGGTATAATGTTCACACATGCTGCAAGTTTGTTCTTCACCAATCCATGGCCAATGGTCTTACCTACTTCTATAGTTGGTACAGTCACATATGCAACTGAATATTTATCTGGAAAATATATATATATTCATATTGATAAAACTGCCTTGAAAAACAATGAGTGTATGTATGTTGAATTTATCTAGAATATTTACAAACTCATCAAATTCAAGCCACCTCACAAAAGTGTATTTTTTATTTTTAATATTTACTTATTATACTTTGAAAATACAGTGGGTTGTGTTATGTTCCACATATGTAACAGTTAGTAAGCCTTTAGTAATTTAGAACATGGTGTTCACAAACATGGAATCTGTCTAACTACTATAAATAAAGTTTGAAAACTACTTCTGGATAAAGTTAAAACAATTGTAGCAAAATAAGTACACATAGCAAGTTCATTTAATTCCTATACATATTTATAAAATATTAATGTAAGTTTTGAAAGATAATTTATGGTAATTCTTCGATTATTTATTTCAGCGATAAATTAGTTAATAGTTACTTAAGGTAAATACTGAAAGTAAGCTATGTCTATATAGATATCTTTAATCGTTTTAGGTATTTATGACTAGTTATTCTTTAACAGCAAACTATAGAGAGTGTAAGTAAAAAATCATTTCAGATTTTTGAATAAATCTGCAATTTATACTATTGTCATAATGTAAATTAAAACAATAATCTATACCAGTGTCTAAAGTTCCGGAAGACATATTAGCTTGAGAGACAACAAAATATGGTCTTAAAACTGTTAAAATAATTGATAAATATGACTTTTTATTTATAATTAGCATTTTGTGGTAATATCCATAATAAATAATTTAATTATGTACATGTATCGAAATAAAATAGTAAATATGTTTTTAAGTTTTGACGTTTATAACGTCAATTGTCAAGTGTTATCATTAATGGCATGTCAATCATAGATCAAACAGACTGTCAATCGAGTACAGTACAGCCACAGATAAGATAATAGTACATAGTTCAGCTTATAGTAAAATATTTTTAATAATACTGTGTAAACTATTTTGTTTACCTCGTACTATTTCCTACCAATAACTGTTTGCATAGATTTATTTGAAAAGGTTCTTAGAACGTGGACGTCATTTGAAAAGAAAACTGTGTAAGGTCTTCTTATTTACTTTCTTATCCTATTCTTTTTGTCAGTGACATAGATTAAATTCTCCTTCCATAAGAGTTTTTTTTTGTTTGTAATACTTTATTGTATAATAAGATTATAAATAAAAGTACACAATTGACTTAAAAAATAAAAGCGTATAATGGAAAACTTACTCCTAAAGAGGGATTACTTTCAGTCTACCTTGCAGTGAAAGAGGAATTGTAGAGTGGTGAAAATAGGAAATAGGTACATTAAATAATACGCGTCAATGAAATGTGTACACAAATATATGGAAACATGCATAAATTATTATAGTATAAATAATAAGAATGTAAATAAATATAAAGACAAATATACACACTAGAAAAGGAAAAATAAAATATTCTAAGTGGAATATCAAAAAGACGCAGACTCAGAGCTTAATAAGACAAGTTTTCAGAGAACTAATCAAAGGCAATAATTTAGTCTTTGTAGGGAATGAATTCCATAGTCGGACTGCATGGACAGTAAAATATTTAGTGTAGCGGTGACTTGTATGAGAGAGAATTGATACAAGAGCGTAAATTATTACCGGAATCTTTCTTGCAGATAAAATGGGTATTACAGCATTGGTATTCTGTAAGCGGTTTATCAACTCATTTCAGTCATCGCTTCACTCGCATCGTGAACTCGATTTGCAAATATAAAGTTCCTACTGAGCTATCAAGTTTGCCGATATTAAAAAAAAAAATCAATAGTGTCTGTTTTACCTCCAATCCCCCCTTTTGAGCAAGTGGCAGTGCGCTATCGAGTTTTACAGAATAACAATGTACAATCTTACCGAAGATTCCGCTTTCGAATTCGTGAGTGGCGGTTACAGAATAGCTCTACAGGGTTTGGGGTTAGAGTACTTTAGACGTAGTGTAAATTGTTCTCCGTTTACTCTCGTTTGAATGACAACTAGATTGACAATTTTTATAATATGTCAAACTATTATTCGCGTGTTTTTGCATGGTACGAGAGATAAATCATTAAAAATTACTTGTTTGTCGATTCTAGTCTGCTATTCTGCTGGAACATATCGTTCCTTATGCGGCATATATGGGTGATGACTTTCTCTTTATACACGTTAACGCTCATTGTCACACTTCCCGTGTCGCAACTGAATACGTCGAAGTCTGACGCCACATTGAACTAGTGGGATGAAATGAAGAGGAAGGTTCGGTCTAGAAATACTGTACCTTTAGGTGTGCATGTCGAAATCGGCTTTGATAGAGGAGTGGAAAGGTATTCGACAAGAATTGATTCAAGCTGATTAGGTCAATGAAAATTCGACTTCGAGCAGCTATTGGGGCGAGAGGAGGGAACAAAATATTGAATATTAATTTTAAGGCCCAATAAAATTTTTGTTATGTAATTGTTGTTTTCTTCATTCATTATTTTTCCATTATCCTTATGTTTTCCTAACTCCTTCACTTAATCCGTGATAGCTCCTTAAATACTGGTGTAATTTAAATGAATTTGGTATCAATTGAATTTAACAGTTGAATCTTTCAAATGGTTTGTAAAAATAATAAAACCATTTCTATTATTCTTAACTAGTTATTAAGTACTCAAGATCGGAATCAATTCCAACTAAGTGATTCCATACTTTTGCTCGCGAATGTATTAGAAAGAATCATTTGTGAGAAAATATTAGTAATCGTCTATAGCAGTGATTCCCAAAGTGGTCTATATTATATATTTATATACCCCCAGGGGTCTACGACAGCGGTCATCTTGTTGTTTTTACTTTATATTTTTAATACTAAACGTTACTACAGTTAGAAATTTACAAAAAATCAATACCAGGTAAGAATGGGGGGTCTACCCAAAACCGAAAAATATGGCAAAGGGTCTACGACACAAAAGAGTTTGGGAACCTCTGTTCTATAGGATGAACTTTCCACTAAAAAGCATTAGACATAATTTATTAAAAGTAAAAACTCTGTCGCCATTCCTCTAAGCTGGAGATTAAAACACTGCGTTTTGTTTTTAATCAAATGCCGAATCTGATCTGTTAAAATAGATAAGAAAAACCAAAATGTAGTCTAAAGTTTAATAAAAACAGATTTTTATACATAAGTAATTTTATTTCATATTAAAACTAATTAAAATACGTAAATACCTTAATTTAATAACAATTTAAATGCAAAATTATAATTTACAATAGCACAATGCGTTATAACTTAATTATCAGAAATTAAACGGAGGTATTCATAAAAATAATTATTTCCACAATACTGAAATATTTCAGGAAAACTGAAGTATACCTATTTACTTTAAATTCAATAATTTTACATACCTATATATAATGAGAAAGTATAAAATTACTTGTATTGAAAATACACAATGAAATATTTACATTTTATACAAAACAATCTAAATTTAATTTTAACCAGTTAAATAATCTTTCAATTTTGATATCGGCTTTAAATTATTAAAAACTTTCTTTCCTCATATACTAATTTATATGCCCATTTGATAATCAATAGATACATAAGATAGCAATATTGAACAAATGTGGGGTAATTTGTGTATGGAGTACAAATCTCCTTTGTTTACGATGTGTACTTGCTCATGTAACGTTGTAACATGAAAGTAATGAGTAATGACGATGAGATGGTATGTACGCCTACTAATAGTAGGTCTATACTGTCTGGCCATCAGAGAAATGGCCACAAATAAACAGTCAGGTATGCAACTGGTATTGTTGTTAAACAAGCTGACAGGCCACCTAACGGCAAGTGTATATTATTTTGTGACGATTGCCCCTTCGATTGATGCCCCGTCCAATTCAAACGGGAATCAATATTATGACGGCCTGAGCCGAGGTTCGAACCCCCAGTGGTGCCCTCAGACTAGTCGTATCCGTCAGGCAGGAGTTGGCCTTCAGCCGCTCCATAAGTCCTTCCGCGGGTTTGGAGTGCCATCTGCACTCGCCCCCTGACGTCCGGTGAAGCTGTAAAGGCCAGCTGCGGCCATCAGCATTAGAGTAGTCCGAAAATTTGTGACGATTCTAGTTCCTTTCATGCGTGGCCGTTTTTGAGAATTTAAAGCATCAAGCCTGATTGATGACTTGGAAAATCTGTTCGATGTCAATAATTGGTTAGACAGACCTCAGGCCTCATTTTGTACGAAGTCTCAATTTGGCTAGTAGGCTTGTTTTTTTTAATGTATTGTTTGATTTTTTCTTATTCGTATTTAAATAAAAGAATAAACAACTCAAGAACATCTTAATATGACAGTCTATAATAATTTGAGTACATATTGTTTGGTATACAATTTTTTTATACAATATGATTTACAAGAAGTAAATTTACTATTTTTGTAATGAAACATATTCTGAACCACTAAGCAACACAATTTGTCTTCAGTTCTTCAATCACTAAATAGTTCCAGGTACACAAAATGTTTTTAAACATCTTCAAGGCTTAGCAGGCTTTTTCTGTAAAATAAAAATTATTGATATATTAATAAAACCCTTTAGCAAATATTACTCATGATATGCAAAATAACTAACTCATTTAGTTAAACAAGGGTAGGTACGTCCCGATTTAAAAAAATCTTGATACTTATTGCCTATATAGTGCTTTTTTAAATGAAGCTACTATTGTATATTTGTATAATAAGTATGGTAAAACTATATTACTTTTTATATGATATAGTTTACCAATATTATTTTTTATTATTGATTCAGCATAAAACACTGCATGTGATGTCCTTACGTACTTTGACACTAGTGGCTATAATTTTTGAGGATCCAAATTTGCTAGTTCAAAAATCATATTATAAACAACTGCTATTGATTTAATGACAAATATACCTAAACAAAATACTTTTAGTTAAGTTAACACTATTAAATAGAGTTTATTATGTAAGTAGATATAAAAGCATAGAAATTTTGGATAAAACTTTAAGAGATGCGGAAAATTAAAATGTATGTTTTAAAATTCATTATTCATACCCAAATAAATTACAAGTCATAGGATAATAGGTTAGCAATATAATAACTCTCTGAAGAAAGAGATTCGACTATAGAATATAGAAGCCAGATATATAATTTAAATATAACTAAATAATATAAGAACAACTAAACACAAGTAATAATAATTAAAAAGCGGCGTACATAGAGATAAGCTAATTCAGTGTTAAATATCACAAAAGCGAGGGCTTGCTTATGTAACTCAATTGCTAACAATTCTAAATACAAACATATTAATACTACTTTTTGTGATTCCGTATGCACCATTTAACAGTTTTAATTATGAACCGTACAACATAGAAACTGCAACTCTCAAATTGTTTATGTGAAATCGTAAACCTATTGATTTTTATGTAACTGGACTGGCAAACAAGCTGACGGCATAACTGAGGAAATGTGGTAACCGTCGTTTTTGTTCGAACAATTGTTTTGTTGGTTGGCTGTAGCTGGCCTTTAAAGCTTTACAGCACTATAGACAAGACCACCTGTACAGGACTCCGTACATAAGGGCCGCTGGCTGGTACAATAATTCCCTATTTTTAAATATTTATATTTTTATATGCTATGGTTTTGTTATTCCTTCTTTGCTCTTACTTTCTTATGTCGTTTGTCACGACACATATTTTTACAATAAACTGTTACTTTACACATTGCGCCTTTAATTACCACCTTCGTTGGCTGCACCGACCCGAGCACTCTATACACAGTCCCACACAACATGAAATATATGTTGCTTTTTGGGGGCCAACTGTACTATACCTCCGTTGCTAATCTCACTGCCACATGGTGAGACCATTCAAGCCAAAATATAGCTCCCAAAGCAAGTTGTTTGAGCGGCTGAAATATGTGAGACAGTCCGCTCTCAATGTCTACCTCCATAATCTGTTGCAACTAAGAATTGTTAGCAATTATGTTAGATAATAAGGCAACTGGTTTCCTTTGTTAATAATATAGACGAACAGAGCAGTTCCATGGTCGAAAGCATGTTTGTTTCTAATGAGAGAACTAACTCACTCCAAATCTGACGCCTACTAACTACCAACAATATTATAAATTTACAGCAGATATGGCGCAAGAACAGCATGAAGGTATTTTGAACTCCTTCTCTATGAGATTGCCGGATTCGTCGAGGGCCGCCATTTGGCGGTATTGATGTTTTTGTATACACGTCGCATTGTACGTAGTCTCGTCAACATAGATTATGCTTGAACAAGCCACGTTTGCAGGCCTGGAAATAGAAAACGTTTTTTTTAATGAATGATAATAGAATGGGACACCCATCTGCACTAATGAGAGTGACAAGATAAGCATGATACGAAGTCAATTGGTCAATCTTTACGAATTCAGCAATTCAGAATATCAATAGTTTTTTTATTTAGCATTTAGCAAACATACAATAGTGAAAAAGCACTCAAACCACATATGTCGTTATAGAAATTATGGCGCACGAACACAAACAATCAGACAAAATTCTATCATTACATTCTGATACATTGGTAATGTTTCCTTATTAATACTTTTTCTGATATATATTCCATGTATAGACTGCGAACAGTTAATTTTTTATATTGTGTTACAGATTATACGTCTCCACTTTTATTCTGTCTGTAGTCTGTAGAATAAAAAAAATGTAGTTACCTGCAGATTTCAACTCTGAAACCTTGTCGAGGTGTTTTCTTTTGATTGAGTATGATATACCATTTATCGTCATAAGCCGCTTCGGGGTACACGACCTGAAAATGTTATTGTATTATTTATAAATATAGGTATGTATGACTATCACACTATAACATGTAGGTCTATATACGAGTACAATATTAGAACATTCTCTACTCATGCTGAACGCGCGATAAGACGACAGTGACGCCGATGGTGTCTGTTTCGTTCTGTCTTATGAACTCTCCTGCGCGCGATATATCGAAAGATTTTACCGCCATGTTACTTCCATGTTCGCGGGTACGATTCCTCGCATGATAAAAAGATTTGTATTCATGAGTATGAGTGTTTTTATGGACTGCGTGTATCACTATGTATAGTATGTATGTATTAAAAAAATGTATTTGTATCAACCATGACCCAAGTTCTGTTTAGCTTGGGAATGGAGGGCCCTGACAGAATTGTTCAGAGTTATTATTATTACATATTATAATTTTTTTTTTTTTTTATACTACTATGGTGGCAAACAAGCATACGGCCCATCTGATGGTAAATGGTTACCGTAGCCTATGGACGCCTGAAGCACCAGGGGTGTCACGTGCGCGTTGCCGACCCTTAAGAAACCTTAATATACCCTTCTTGAAAAACCCCAAGCTGTAGTCTCGTGAGAAAACCTCGGCAGGAAGTTCATTCCACAATCTAAGTGTACGCGGGAGGAAGCTCCTCTGAAACCGCACTGTCCGAGACCACTTAGGTTCCAGCGTGTGGGAATGAATTCCCTGTCGATGGCGAGCGGTGCGATGGTGAAAGGTGGCCGTAGGCATCATGTCGAACAATTCCTCAGAACACAGTCCGTTGTATAATCGGTAGAACACACAAAGCGAAGCGAAGTCTCGCCTCAAACTAAGTGGCTCGATACCGTCAGAGAGATTGGGATCATCGACAATTCTCATAGCACGTCTCTGAACCGAGTCAAAAGGACCGAGCTGGTATCCAGGTGCTCCTGCCCAAAGATGAGAGCAGTACTCCATGTGCGGCCGAACTTGAGACTTATATAAGAGGAGTCTCTGGTCCGCAGTGAAGTACCGCTTCGCTCTATTGAGCACACCGAGTTTTTTGGATGCCAGCTTAACCTTTTCTTCGAGGTGACTACGGAACTCAACTGTGCTAGAGATGTCGATACCGAGAATCCCAATACTCTTAGAGATGGTAATGGACGTGTTCTGGAATTGCGGAGCCACAGCAAAAGAGGTTTTCTTAGCGGTGAACGCGCAGGCTTGTGTCTTGGTAGGGTTGAATTGAACTAAGTTCAGTCGCCCCCAATCGGAGACTCTGGTAAGAGTACTCTCGATTTCAGACACAAGCTGTTCGCGGTTTGCCTCCACAACGGAAAGAGGGATATTAGCACGGCCCGTGTAAAATGCGTCCCCAGTACTGTCATCCGCATAACAATGAATGTTAACTGTAGTTAACAAATCATTGATATGCAGCAAAAACAGTGTCGGGGAGAGAACGGAGCCTTGCGGGACGCCAGCGTTAATGTCCATGCTATCGGAGCAACTACCGTCGACTACGGTTTTGATGCATCTGCCAGACAAAAAACTAGCGACCCATTTGCATAATCCCTCTGGTATACCGTACGAGGGCAATTTCGATAGAAGACCTTGATGCCAAACCCGATCGAATGCCTTCGCCATGTCAAGGCTGACTGCCAATGCCTCACCTTTACTCTCGATGGCAAGAGCCCAACGGTGTGTGAGATACACTAAAAGATCACCAGTTGAGCGATTATGGCGAAAGCCATATTGACGATCGCTCAATAGATCGTGATCCTCTAGGTATCCCAGGAGCTGTGTGTTAATTACACGCTCCATCCACCTTGGAGAGTAGAGATGCGATAGCGATAGGCCTGTAGTTCGATGGGTTTGATCTGTCGCCCTTTTTTGGCACAGGGTGCACAAGGGTGGTCTTCCATGAAGACGGAAATTGCCCAGAGGAGTACGAAAGCGCGAAAAGGCGCGTGAGTACGGGACACAACTCCGGAGCACACTTCTTTAACACCAATGCCGGTATGCCGTCTGGCCCATTCGACTTGTGGACGTCAAGAGACAGTAACTCTCGCCGGACACGCCGTTGCGTTACGGATATTTCCGGCATAGAGTTACCACACCATGGGATGGTAGTAGGTATGGTGTCCCCGGCGTCCAAAGTCGAATTTGAGGCAAAAAGAGCGCACAACAAATCGGCCTTCTCTTTTGCACTGATTGCCAAGTTATCATCCGGCTTCCGTAGTGGTGGTAAGGACGACTGACTAAAGTTACCTTCGGCAGCTTTGGCAAGCGACCAAAAGGCACGACTTCCAGATGGATGTCGTGCTAGTCGTTCACCAATTTTACTGACGAAGTCGAATTTGGCTCTAGCAATTACTCTCTTACTAAACCTGGATGCAGCATTTAAATTCCGCCTTGCATCAGATACGTCAACATCACTGTTGGAACGAGCCGTGGTCCAAGCCAGATAAGCAGTTTGTTTAGCCTGTCTGGCTTCTCTGCATGACCTATTAAACCACGGTCGCTTTTTCGCCCCTGAAGAAACAAGCAGATTTGGAACAAAACATTCCATACCCGCATGTATGACTTCAGTAACGGCGGCTGTACAGGTATCGACGTCTTCTGATGCAAAGCAGTACTGCTTCCATGGGTACGATGCGTAAAATTCTCGCAATCTGTCCCAATCTGCAGATTTATAATGCCATATACGACGTTGACAAGGAGGTCGGGATATAGCAGGTTTTGTGCACAGTACCTGGGATCGGATAAGGCAGTGATCCGAAGAACCAAGTGGTGCCTCCACGGTCACTGAATATCCGTCCGGTCGTGTAGTCAGCAGAAGGTCCAGTAAGGAGCTCGTATGGGTCTCGATATCAGGTATTCTCGTTGGAGAATGAACCAGTTGCGAGAATCCATAGGCCAGAGCAAACTCGTGAGCAGTTCTCCCCGCGTGGTCGGTGAGCCGAGAACGGAGCCACTCGATGTGATGGGCATTGAAGTCTCCAAGTATCACTAGACTTGCGGAGGGATACTGCTCAAGAACTTTATCAGACGTCAATTGAAGGTGCTCAAACAGACGAGTCGTATCCTCGTCACCGCTATGAGACCTGTACAGGCACGCATAGATGCCGGTGTAGTCACCCTGATCAATGCGAACCCATAGGATTGACAGGTCTTTTTCTTCTAGACCAAGAAGGCGGCGACAGCAGATATCTTCCCGGACATACAAACAAACCCCGGCACGACGCACAAATTTGTGCTCGAGTTTATACCCAGGGTACAGCAGGTATGAAGTGTCAGCCGGAGAGGATATCTGCGTCTCCGTAAGGAATAAGAGGGTCGGCTTTGCGGTCTCAAGGTGATGGTGGACCGCATTGATGTTTCCGTGAAGTCCCCTGATATTACAGAAATCCATATCTAATGTGGATTGGGGTGCCGCTGAAGTACTAAATTTCCTTTTTTTACTTCTGGTCATGGTAGTATGGCAGTATTTTTTTTTTTTTTTAAGGTTAAAGGGGAATGGTTGCGCCGGTATCAGAAAGGGCAAAAGGTGCATCAACGCACCCCAGCATTGCACAGGTTGGGCGACTTGGTGGCACGGCGGCCGGAAGGGCCCCCGGTCCCCCCACTGGTGTAGCAGCCGGGTCCACTCCGGTCTCCTCCTCCGGCACGACTACTACACCAGAGATTATGCACAGGCGGCGGTTCAGCCTCCCAGGGCGGAGATTATGTAATCCCTGGGTTCGGGAACCCAACAACCTGCGGGCGGCCAGCGGTTAGCCGTTTCACCGGGTCTCCCTGAACGCCGCGCCACCACGTCGCGCCTATGCAATCCCGAGGCACTGTTGGACACACAGGTCCACCAATACCAGCACAACCCATCCCCATGGGGCTCTGGTCACCTTACTCACCACAGGAACACAGTGCTGTTGTGTAGTGCAAGTACAGCACTGTTTGGCTGTGGTTTTCCGCTTGGTGGAGGTACTACGCCAGTTCGGGCCGCCCCAAGTCGAGCAAGGTGTACCGAAATACATCTTGCTGTGCCCTCCCTTCCCTAAATTATCAATCAAAGTCACTGTCATGTTTGTCTGTATGTTCGCTATAATCTCAAAACTATTGAACGGATTTTCATGCGGTTTCCATTGATCAACAGAGATATTGTTAAGGAATGTCAAAGAAATTAATTATTTAAAGTTTTCTGTAAATAATTAACTAATTGACCCCTACCCCTGCGAAGCATTATATATTATGTATAACGTTACCTTCTCTTCGGAGTTACAAAGTGCCATCATTTGATCAGGGGATCCAATTCGTTGCACTATCTCCGGTATATCCAATATGTCTACATTGAATCTGTATTTTGAATTTTCCAGCTGTAAAATTAGTATAAAAAAATATTAGAACAATAGTTTTAATGTGTTACTTTACAATTAAAAAAAAGTAGTTAGTTTACACAACCATAGACAACGCGATAAGTTTAATCATGTGAGTATAATAAACGAGGCTGCAAATTTGATACAAGTAAGTATCAAAGTGGCCGGTGCTAAATTATTTTTGGTTTGTATAGCATATGTTCTACATAAATATTTGAGGGGTTAATATACATATATTTATAATAATAATTTCAAATACAAGTCCTATGTGCTTACTTCATTTAGAATAGAAGCCACCCGCTCCGAAGGATAATTAGGAATGCTCTCGCATATTCCATTCTTCAAACAGTTCTCATCTGATATCTGTGGATGGAATGTGGTTCTTGAAGTTGGACCCGGGAACACTACACTGTCCCTTAGTGATGGTTTTGATTCTTGTGCTGGAAATGATTATGTTAATATTAAGGAAAATAGATTTTGCAAAGTCATCTGCCATTTTGTCTATGTCTCCAATCAAGAAGCAAGCTACTCGGTAAGACAGGCATAAGATAAGTGTAAACAGTCAGATAGACATGTAGTCAGTAGTAGTAATTCAGAATATAGCAAATTTTCTGTATTAAAGGGCAGGGAAATTTCATGATACGGATAAGTAATATATTAGTAGATACTACATAATGGCTAAGCATTAGTGGTTATGGCATTACGACATGAATTCGTGGTGCTGTAAATGTATATAACAGATGTAATATAATATTTTGTTTTTTAATTAAGCTTTTGCTTTTCATAGACTCAAGTCTATACCCTATTTTGCGTTTAGATTTGAATTCTACTTATTCTTTTCTCTCAAAAAATGTGTATTTTGCATTCTCATATTTAACTATTAAATTTATATATTACATCAATTAATTTGTATCTCAAGAGAGTTACACACGAGCCTAATGTAGATATTGGTGTATCTTCCGTTTTGCATTTCCCATTCTTCTTGTTAGTAGGAATACATTTCTTACTATTATCTTAGTATCTTGGACAGAATATTCCTCAGTTTTATTATACTTTAATAGAATAGATATATTACACTTATAGTAAGGCAAGCGTAGCTGAAAATAATAAACTTAGCGAACATTCGTAGTTAGACAGCATTATTAGTTGCTTTTTTATTCATACCAGCACCATCCTTTTTAGTCAGTTTAGAGACTAGATCATGCATAATTAATGTAATAAAACTACCTACTTCTTCTATTACTAATCAGGGGATATGGTTTTGATAAATCATTTACAATTTTCAGTGACGAATTGCTGTTTCTCCTGTTAGCATCGTCAACTGTGTCTCTCCTTCTGTTCTCTTGTGCATTCACTCCCTTATAATTAATTGGGATTGATCTATCATTCATTTGAGATCGTTCATTTGGTCCCTCATAATATCGTTCTGCTCGTTGATAGCTCCGTCTGTTACCTATACTGGCCTGCTCTGCTCTGTGGACTGGTTCTCTTGAATACTCATCTCTATTCTCAGAAGATGATTGATATTCTAAATAATCATTATAAGTGAAGGCAGGAACTGAGGTCTGTAACAAGACACAATCTATATAAGTACACGACAATTTTTCAAAAATTGGATCTGTGCTGTAAAATGACTATTAAAACATTCTATATGTTTTAAATCTTGTTCTTAGGTATTCTTATTTATTTTTAAACGTAATTATATTTTGTATACGCATAACACAGTTAATTTTATTTTAGAAGAAATAGTCTAGGTTTTTCTCTTGTTTTTTATGTACAGTGTAGGTAGACAACTATTTATGTAATCTGCGTACTATTTAATCTGCATTCGGAATGAGTGATAGAATTAAAAAATGTAAGTTCAAAAGTTATATTATGTTTATTTGAATAAAGAATATTTCTATTAATCATTGAACGTTTCTAACATAATGTAAGTAACATGAAACAATCATTCTGTGTTCTATCAAGAATAGTAGTTTGTCCACTGAAATCTATTCTTTAATTTGACCATATGTAATATTATCTTATCTGTGATTTTACTAATATATATGATCTCTAACATAGGTATTACACTGCCAGCAGCCTTTTCAAGGCCACATTTATACAAAAATAATTATACCGACTAAGTAGTTTATACAAATATAAGCCTAATGACTTGCGCAATAACAGCTATGATTATGCTGTACCGACTTCTAAAACCATAATAAGTGCTATTATAATTATTATATTTTTCATACAACAAAACTGAACGGTTGGACATGACTCATAGTATATATAAACAGACAGATAATTTTGTACCATTATATTATATTTGTATCCGCGTCATACAAATAAAAAATAATAGATTAACATTAGTTTTATTCAGTAGTCAGGTAAAAACATCAAATCAAACCTCAATTATTTATATTGAACAATTGCTATGTTTTGGGCGCAAAATATTGTGCAATTTTATATTTTCATTTCAAATTCAGTAAGAAAATATCTAACGATATTCTTTCAAAAAGTTCTTAAATAAGTAAATATTACTGTAGGGTTGAATACAAACGAGTTCATCAATAAAATAGACAGTATTTTAAATTAGACAATGTATATTGCTTGAAGTACATGTTGTCGTAAATATGTAAAATTATGAACAGATAAAAGCATATTTTGCATACGCAAACTTTCAATCGGATATGTAAATGCTGAAGACATGAGGCTGTATGCTGAATTAAATAGCTATATAGTATATTAAATTTAAAATGTAATTGAATGTATGAGTAAAAAAATTACTACAATGTAAACTTTTTATAAACTTAACTTTAAAAGTAACAAACAAGTCCATATAAGTTCAAAAGTCTGAAGCAAGTATGTTTGCGCAGGATAGGTTTGCGTCACCATTTATAATGACGCGGCCTGTAAACGTCTGAAGATAATTGGTGCAATAATCAGAACAAGCTTACAAATAACGTAAACAGGCTTACATTACGCAAGCCGATACTTGGGCGAAGGCTAGTTAATTAAAACAAGACCGCCTGAGTCACCTGTTCGATGACATATATATATATTGCCGTCGATTAACGATATAATGAATGCGTAGCTTCAATAAAATGAATACTATGGAATTTAAAATAAAACACATTACTATCGAAGCATTTTTTTATATCATAGGGGACAAACGAATCTGATGGAATTACCGCCACCCATGAGCATCCGCAATACCAGGGTAAGCGCAATTGCGCGTGCGTTGCCGGCTTTTTAAGAAGAAATAAGCTCTTTTCTTGGTTTCAATATCGTATTGGTTCGGAAATACAATTGTTATTTCAATTTATGCCCTGTTTGTATAAATATAGTGGAATAATTTAGCTTCCTCAGACTTTATATGCCCTATACCTAACCTCAGACATGTAAGGTTGACGTCTACGCGGACCACTTGGAAACCATCGTCCTCAATTCCCGCTGAATTGTACAAAGTCTATCTATCTCCATACCTATTTAAGAAGACATACTGACTAGCGATGACCCCGCCTGCGTTTCTTTGTGTGGTTTATATCAGAAACCACAGTAGTATATAATTGCTTGTATTGTAAATGTTTAGGAATAATATATATACATATATATTATTATATTATATAATACAATAAACAAATATATATCAATAAATACACCATATAGGTTAACTGTTTGTGGTACTAGGCAATAATGTGGTTGATTCTATTTATAAGTAGACATATATATACTTAGTTTCGACTATGTTAGCCTACTAGCCGTGAACACTTGGAATACAGCGTTGTCAATGCGGTAGGTGCTTCATAGGTGTTTCTTCACCTATCGTCACTAAGTTGCCCAACGAAATATCGTACGCGAACTACGAAATAGTGTACGGGACACTTAGATCGATGCTACTGAACTTTGTTTCAGCATATTTATTACTGGTTTCTATGTGTATGATAAATTTATGATGATTTTATCGCCTCTCGTGCCATTTGTGGGTACGTAATAGTACCTATGTAATATGATCTTATCTGTGGTAATAGATATACTCAGTAGAGAGAACTGTAGGCGTATGAAATTTTATTCAGCGATTTATTCTAGCATACAGCAGATGATCAGCAATTGCAGATTATGTGGTTTTTTATTTTTAATAGCCGCGATGTGCTGTTTGACTCATTCAGTTATTGAACGTTTTGTTTGGCCAATAGTATAGTATTATAAATTCTATCATCCATACTAATATTATAAATGTGAAAAGACACACTATCATATTTGTCTATCTGTTTGTTACTTTTTCACGACTAAATAGTTTAACGCAATTTAATAAATTTTGATAGAAAGATATTTCGAGGATGTATTATAGTTACATAGGCTATTTATTATCTAAAAAATAATATAGAAGGATCTAAACAGGAGGTCATAGTATTTGCAGACGAAGTTGCAGATAATAGTTAGTTGTACATAAAAACCCATCTGGGATTAAAATCCATTTATTTCGTATGTTTATATAGATATTAGGTAGTTCGATAGGGAAAAACATTTTATTCACAATTCAGATCTATTGTTATCACGCAATATTCCGTTTCAATGTTTCCAATGACATTTAATAATTTATTACCTGAACCGACAGATGTTATCTTTTTTTAGCGAATATAGTAGTAGTAGAATATAGTAAAATAATAGTCTAATTTTCTTTTACAAAGTGATGGTGGCCTAGTGTTGAGCACACCACCTCATTTCCGAAATTCGCCGGTTTGATTAACTGCACGGTACAAACATTTGTATTCATTGTTTGTGTAAAAAACTGTATCTACTTGTAAGTATTTATATCGTTGGCCACGTACATACCAATACCACCATTCTGCTTGATTAGTACTAGATGTGGACAGTCCAGAGTTGTTATTATTATTATTTATGAATACAATAAAAAAAGGTTAAATAGAACGGTTAAACCATTCTCACCTATATTATACATACTTTATATATGTATATATATACTTATATATGTTAGCGGTTTTAAATAGAACTCTATCTACGTAGGTAGACAACAATTACAATTACATAAATACAGATTCTGTTATTAGTTCACTATGAATTATTTATCATGAGTAATTTATATGTCATAATATGTTTTATAACAAGGAAGGAAGGTAATATATTTACATATCCTCGCCATATTATAAAGTTTATACAATAACATAAAAATATACTTACTGTTGCTATTGTTAAATAGTGCACAGAGTAGTACAATTTTAATTAATTTGATTATTCCTAAATTATGACGTACGAATTTAATGATTTTTTCTTTTTAACCGGCTTTATCATAGCTGATCACATTCACATCATCCATATCTATTTAGGAGCAAATTGGATTGCTAGCAATGTGGGCTGTTGAGCCCAGTGCTAGCAATGTACCATCATCGTCAGGTTGACATGACACAAATTCCTGGAGATTTGTCAATATGAATTAACTGACCTGCTCATGGTCACTTCATGCTCATATCATCCTCCACTGGTGCCCCGCCAGTATGCATCGTTAGCGCAGGGTGGAACCTCATTACATTAACATCCATAAAAAAACATCTAGACATTACTTAATTAAAAAACAGTGGTTGATTACTTTCATTTAGATATTTGGAAATGTGACCTTAAGAAATGGAAGACGTGTGAGGTAATTTACGAATAGCAATAATAAATTATCACAGATTGCGATACGGACAAAATATGGATTAATAAATGAAGTATATTATAATATTGATCACGATTAATAGTAAATCATATACATCGGTTACTACATATGTATTATGTCTGTAGTATTCACATATGTATAATAAAAAGATAACCAATGAACGCTGTCGTATATGGAAAATAAATGAGTAAAACTATTATTCGGAGGTTTTATCAATGTGTAGTAATAGACTCCAAAATAATGACTACTAGATTTTATGTCTGTTTGTCTCTGTGTTTATGCGCGTTAATCCCCGAAATAGAAAATACATAGTAAATTTCTCGCCAATATTTCACAGAATCACAACAGTTCGCGTGTATTTTCCTTTTTGACCTAATGCTATTTTTTCTCACTGATGCGCAAAGGTCTTCTCTTCTACATTGTTATAATTCCGCTAAATTTTCATGAAGCAAAATATAACTACTTGCTCGATTTATCGAACACAAGTCCTGTTACCGAAATTTACTGGATCCGTTATCTTTTATGAGCTTATGAATTGAAGTGCTGTTTGGCAGCATTCCTGATGTTTATTGTCGGGAGAAATTTGAATTCATCTTTGCTACTTAATAATATAATGATATAATTTATTTTATCTATGTTTGTTCGATAAATAATTAGCTTCCATTTTTTGACAAAATTATGAGTACCGCATAACAGTGAAGTCAATTTTATCGTTTGTGAAAAGAAATATCTAAATTGAGTGTTTGTTGTTATTCAAATAAACTTAATTTAAGCACTTTTGAATAGTCATAACAATTTTTTTTTATCTACCGCTCGTTTGGAAATCTCTGTCTCATCATAAGAAGAACGAGCAAGAAACTTGTGTGTTGCTCTTTTAAATAATCCTTGTTAGTTTACATTTAG